CCGGGGATGAGTTACCGTCTCGGAAACCCACATGGGCAATTCTACCCTGCCCTACAGGGTCACCATGAGTCAGAATCAGCTTGGTGACAGTGAGTTTGCTTTGGTTCAATCAACTCGATGACAGTGAGTTTAATTTGGTTCTCATGACTGCTAGTCTTACTTTGGCATAGGTACAGGTGGGTGCACACAGATCCTCACACCCTCACTGTCTCCAGGAAACTGGTTGGATTCTCTCTGATCCGGAAGATTAACATCTTTACCGTGTAGATAATGGCACCTGGGATTTCAAAGTCTAGAAGTATTAACCAGTGTAGACATTGCCCTTGGAGGAGATAAAACTACCATCTCTAGCACCCTTTATTGGCTACCCTACCACTACCTGGCCCTGCATAATGTGTTATTCCCTTCAATTTCACCTTCTTCCCTCCAGACAGGTTCCCTCACCTGTAAGTCCTATCCTCCCCACTCCCCAGGCCCAACCCTTTCTGACCCTGCAACATGAAACTCCCTTCACACAGAGTCCTGCCTTCAGTGGATCTCCCCCTGGAGCCTTTGAGCCCCTCCTTCACCTACACTCTCTCCCTTCCCAGATCCGGAGGCGGAGCCAGGCTGGCCGGGCAGGACTCCGAGAGAAGGACCAGCTTGTGGCTATCAATGGGGTCTCCTGCATCGGCCTCTCTCATGCAAGTGCCATGAGCCTCGTTGATGCCTCAGAGAATCAGCTGGTCCTCACTGTCAGGCGGTACGGAGCTCCCAACCTTCCTGTCTCCCTAGGGTGGGCAGTGCCCATTTCCACCTAGGTGTTCATGCTAGGTGCAGATGTTGGTGTTGAATGTATATGCGATTAAGGATGAGGGGTGTCAAATAGATACATGAGTTAGTGGGCATACTTCAACCCTTGGCCTCTCCTCCTTATCTCATCTTCTAAGCCAGTGGTTCTCAACCTTCCTAATGCTGCGACCCTTTAATACAGTTCCTCATGTGGTGGTGATCCCCAACCATAAAATTATTTTCACTGCTACTTCATAACTGCAATTTTGCTACTGTTATGAATTGGGCAACCCCTGTGAAAGGCTCGTTAGATCTGCAACGGGGTCGCGACCCACAGGTTGAAAACCACTGTCCTAAGCCCATTTCTACTCACACCCCTCCAAGCACATTTGCCTCCCAATGTGTCTTTAGATCTTCACTCTCCCCAGCCGATTCATCCCACCTGTAGCTGACACCTCTCTCCTCCTCCTATCTCCTTCTCCCACCTCCTCAAAATCTCACTAGACACCTACTCTCTAGTTGTTACTGGGCCATCTCTCAATTTCTGACATTTTCCCCACACAGGGTAGGGGAAGAAGGCCCTGTACGATCGCCATCCCCTCGTGAGCTTCAGGTACTGTCACCCTTGTCTCCAATGAGTCCCGAGCCCCCTGGTGCTCCAGTTCCCCAGTCTCTACAGCCTGGGAGCCTTCGCTCACCTCCTGACAGTGAGGCTTACTACGGAGAGACCGACAGTGATGTGGATGGCTCTGCCACCCACGAGAAACCCCGCCGCCCCCGCCGCCGAGGTCCTGCGAGGCCCACCCCTCCAGGAGCTCCACCTGATGAGGTCTACCTATCTGATAGTCCCGCAGAACCACCCCCTGCTGCCCCTGGCCCTCCTAGCCAGGGGGACAGCCGTGTAAGCTCGCCATCTTGGGAGGATGGGGCAGTCCTTCAGCCACCTTCAGCAGAGGCCCTGCTGTTGCCCCACGGACCCCTCCGGCCTGGGCCTGACCTCATTCCTATGGTGGGACCTGTACCCCACCCAGTGGCAGAAGATCTCACTACCACCTACGTCCAGAAAGCCAAGCAAGCCAGTGAGTGCCAAACCCCCTTCTTCCATGTGGGCCCTAAATCTGCCTCTCCCTAGCTCTACTCTCTCCTTCCCTTTCTCTTGGAGAGGGTTTTAAGACAAGTGGATAAGAGGGCCGACTGGGCAAGGGAAATAATAAGTCTCATGTCCCCAATTGTCCCTGCGGTCTGAACCCATGTGGCAAAAAGGTACAGGTTGTTCAACCTCCGCCAGGCGCAGTGTAGGTAGAGAAGTCTGAGAGGAAACACAACTAGATGTAGGGTTTGAGTTCTGTTGCTAGTATCATTTAGCTAGGTGTCAGGATTGGGGTGAGGGTAGAGGGCAGACATGGGGCTGAGGAGTGTTGGGGAGCAGGATTGGGCTACAGGGGCACTTCAGCATCCTGTGGGGGCATAACATCAGAACTATTTTTGTAGTTTGACATTTGGAAGTTCAGTTAGGCTTCATGGGGCCGTGAGGCTAGGGGATGGTCATGAGATCCCTAGGAAGTGGTAGAAGGGAGGGCTCTTCAGCTCCTTATCTCCAGCGAGAATGTTGGCCTGGGCAGAAAGAGCCAGTTCCACTTAGCTCGAGCTCTTTGCTATTTTTGATGTGAGCTACACAGCAAGGCCTAAGCATGCACTTTTCTCCTGCCCCCTGCCCCCCATGTCACTTTCACAGAGGCCTTTGTTTTGCTTCAGAAATCTTAGGTTTACCCCTCTACTTCTCATCTTTCTTCCTTTTCCATCATTCTGATTTCTCAGCCATAAAAAGATGTGACTCTAAGTCTGGAATCAAGGCTAGCAATACCCTAGTTTAGCATCTGACCTCCCCAGGCTGTCTAAGACTCCACCAAGAAATTCCAGATGCAAGCCCAGGATCCTATGCTTACCCACAATTCTCATTTTAGCAAAGCTCCTTCCCATCATGCTGAGTGAGATGGTAGTAGCTCTGGGATATTTTTAGCCAAACAGATCTCATTGTCAAATGGGGGTGGGGAAGGGTAGGCAGGTGTTGACATCCATCACACTGGGGCTTGTGGGGCAGCCTAGAGAAGAGAGGGGGGCCAGGCTCCAAAAATAGCACCATGAGCTCATTCAGCTGCTAGCTCTGGGGACCAGACAAAGGGGCTTTAAAAGGCGTGGGGGTGGCTCAAGCTGGTCCTGCTCCAGACAACACTGCCTTTCTCCACATGGAGACCTTTGAGCTCATCAGCCAAGAGCCTCTCAGCCAAGCCAGTTGTGACAAAGGCCCAGGCCCAGATCCTGAGCTCCAGGACCCATTCTATGCAGGTACTTCATTTCTAAGGGAGATGTGGGACTCCCATTAGAGGGGAATAATCAACCGGTTCGGAAAGGAGGTCTTTGTGCAAGGTCTAATTCCCTACCCCTCCTTTTTCCTTCCTCTTTCTCTTTTTGGGCTTTCATGGCTCCTTTCTCAGAATGGGTTGATGGTATGGCCACTTGTCCAAGTGCCCTGTGACCACAAGGGGAAAGAGTGTGTGTGAGAAAGAAATGTGGGCATTTCTGAATACAGGAGGGCATGTATGTGTGCGTCTGTGGGAGCGTCCGTGGGAGCTGAGAAAAAGTATGTGAACAAGAAGGTGTCCTTATCCTTGGGCAGCTAGTGACAAGAATGTAGTAATGGGTACTTACAGTGGGTCATAGCACTGTGTTAAGTGCTAACTTTGCCTACATCACCTCACTTATTCCTCATTGAGAGCTGAGAAAGGTGAGCTTCAGTAAGGTAACAGACTACTCCCAAGGTTTCAGAACCCCAAATCTTCCAGAGCCAAACCCTAGTTCCAGAGCCTCTTCTTCCATTCAGAGCAGTATGTTGTGAGAAACGTTGGGATGGAAGGTGTGAGAGTCCTAATTAGAAAGGAGTTGGTATCTTGAATGGAAAGTAGCTGGAACTTCAAGAATTTTTTTAGGAACTTTGGATTATGGACAAGGAGTACTGGTGTCCAAGATAGAGACAGTGCCAGCAGCAGGGCAGCCTCTCCCATTTCTTGGCCCCACTTACCCAGACCCTACAGGATATGGGAAGCTCTGCTCTGGCTTCTTGCTTGCTTGCTTGCCTGCCTGGGAGCAACTATCAAGGCTCTCCACTATCAACCCACCCACTCCAACTTGGGGAAAATGAACACATATTTAGCTAATGACCTTGAAGTGTCTAAAAATTGGGCGGGTTAGTTTGGAGAGCAGCCCTATAGCCTTTCTTGCATCTTGGAGCTGAGACTACCCCTGTCTCTGAGTAGCAGCAGACAGAGGCGCAGAGGGATGATCTGGTAGTTGGAAAGCAAATATTGGCTCCAACATTTTGACCAAACATTTAAGAACCGTCTCTTCAGAGGAAACTCTGGGGCGAAGATCCACCTGGACTGTGTGTAATGTGGGGCTATTTGAGTAACTGTGTTTTTGTGAGCACATGTGTATTTATCTATGGGTGTGTGAACATGAACATGAGCTAGGGTAAACCTGAACAAGAGAAAGGACATATGTGTAACAGTACCCATCGCTGCCTTCTAGTTGACAAATAGTCTTGTAGATATGATGTGTGATGGCAGTTATTTATTCGCGTGCTGCACGTGGAGGTGGCCGTTTGAATGAAGACTTTCATTTCTCAGGGTCCTTTGTGTCTTGAATATGGGGGAGGGCTGAGAAGAGGTTCAAACTTTGAGAGATGCCTGCTAAAATGGCCTAGGCCAAGGTCCTGGGAGAAATAGATCATCCTTTTCTCCCTGTGGCTTGCACATGGGGAGTGGCACCTCCACTGCCACTAGGAATGGAGGGAGGCAGGGGAGGGCTGTGTGCGGCATGGGTAAGGGCACATTTCTAGAGGGCTGTGGTCAACGTTGGGATGCCCAACTGGATTCGGACTTATCTTCAGCTGTCCTTGGTTTCCCTTGTCACCCGCCAGGCTGTCCCCAAGTCCGAGAACTTCGCCACTACAGGCAAGAGAACTTGTGGGTTTGGGAGGCCTCAGGGAGCTGGGAGCAGGGCCGCGCCATTGACCATTCTCTCTCCTGACCTCCTCAGAACTGCAACACGCTGAGAGCCTCCAAGAGAAGAGTGTGAAAGAGGCCAAGACCAAATGCCGGACGATAGCCTCCCTGCTAACGGCCGCCCCCAACCCCCACTCCAAGGGGGTGCTTATGTTTAAGAAACGGCGGCAGAGAGCCAAGAAATACACGCTAGTGAGCTTTGGGGCTGCGACTGGGACCGGCACTGAGGAGGAGGACGGTGTCCCTCCGACAAGCGAGTCGGAGCTGGACGAAGAGGCCTTCTCGGACGCGCGCAGTCTCACCAATCAGACGGACTGGGACAGCGCCTATCTGGACATGGAGCTGGCCAGGCCGGGCTCAGCGGCGGCAGAGGGCCAGGGCCCCGGGCGGGGAGGGCAGCTGAGCGAGGCCTCTGGGCCAGGGGCCCGGCTCTTTGAACAGCAGCGGCAGCGGACAGCCTCCAGCACCCAGGAGCTGGCCCAGGACGGGCCACCGGCCATGCCTAACGGGCAAGGCCTCCAGTCACCCCTCCGTCCCCAGAGTGCGCCCCCGGAGGTGGCGGTGCTCCCACTCAGCCCCGTGCCGGCGCTCGCAGCCAGCCCCAGACTCTTTCTTCCCGGTGGGGGGGGCCCCTCGCCAGCTCCAGGGCTCTTTAACCGATCGGCCAGGCCATTTACTCCAGGCTTACAAGGCAGGAGGTCAGGTACCACCTCGGTTCTTTTCCGGCCCCTAGCCCCCAAGAGGGCGAGTGAAAGTGTAGGAGGCCTCACTCCCGTCCCACCCCCCTTCTTGTGCTCTCCACAGGGGCCCGCCCCCACCCCTCTGCCCAGTTTCACTCCAGGGGTTCCCGGTCATGGACCAGCTCCTGGCTCCCCCGCCACACCGCGCTCGTCGGGCCCCGTGACGGCCACCAGCTCCCTGTACATCCCGGCCCCCAGTCGCCCAGTTACTCCAGGCGCAGCCCCAGAGCCTCCCACTCCCCCTAGCGCTGCGGCCATGACTTCTACCGCTTCCATCTTCCTGTCGGCGCCTCTGAGGCCAACAGGGCGCCCAGAAGCAGCGGGCCCGAGCCCAGCTGCACCCGAGCCCCCCAGCGCGCGGGAGCAGCGCATCTCGGTGCCAGCTGCCCGCACCGGCATCCTGCAGGAGGCCCGGCGCCGGGGCACTCGGAAGCAGATGTTCCGGCCAGGAAACGAGGAGACCAAGAACTCGCCCAACCCCGAGCTGCTGTCTCTGGTGCAAAACCTGGATGAGAAACCCCGGGCCCCGGGGGCCGAATCTGGTCCCGAGGAGGACGTTCTCAGCCTCGGGGCGGAAGCTTGCAACTTCATGCAGCCACCAGGGGGCAGGAGCTACAAGGCCCCGCCTCCCGCGACACCCAAAGCCCCGCCTCCAATGGCTCCTAAGACCCCACCCCCTATGGCACCTAAGACTCCACCCCCGGTAGCTCCTAAGCCCTTCTCTCGAGGGTCCCTTGATGGGCTGGTGAATGGGGGAGTCTCTTCATCTGGACTCCCTGAGCCACCAAGGCTGCAGGGTAGGGGTGGGGAGCTCTTTGCGAAACGGCAGAGCCGCGCAGACAGGTATGTGGTGGAGGCTACACCTGGCCCTGGCCTTGGCTCTGGCCCGCGACCCAGAAGCCCCTCTCCAACTCCTTCATTGCCCCCATCCTGGAAATACTCACCCAATATCCGCGCTCCACCTCCCATTGCCTACAACCCACTTCTCTCACCCTTTTTCCCTCAGGCTGCCAGGACTCTCCCTGGCAAGTCTCAATCCCAGGGGCCCCGGGCAACCCCCAAACAGGGAATCAAGGTTCTTGATTTCATGAGGCACCAGCCCTATCAACTTCAAACCGCCATGTTCTGTTTTGACGAGGCTCCCCGCACTCCGGGTTCCACGGCTTCCGGGCCTCCCAAAACCGCCCGAGTCCAGGAGGTCCGCAGATTTTCCACTCCGGCGCCGCAGCCCACTGCAGAGCCCCTGGCTCCCACAGTGCTGGCTTCTCGAGCAGCCACCAGCCTGGATGAGCCCATCTGGAGAACAGAGCTGGCCTCAGCCCCTGTCCCCAGCCCAGCCCCTACTCCAGAGTCGCCCAGGGGCCTCGGAACCTCCCCCAGTTCCTGCGGCTTCCAGGTAGCCAGGCCAAGGTTCTCAGCTACGAGAACTGGATTGCAGGCTCACGTTTGGAGGCCTGGGGCAGGACACCAGTAAGCACAGCCCAGCTCCCAGGACCAAGGAGAGGTGGCAAGTCTTGTTCCTAAAGTTGCTCCCCCACCCCCCACCCCCACCTCTCCGAGGCACCTGGAGGCTTAAGCTCCCTGCGACCAGTAGTAGTTCTGGAGTTGATAGCTCCTCCCCCTGGAGTTGATAGCTCTTCGCCCAGCTTCCTACTCACTCTGTCTGGGTATTTCCTTGCCTGGATCGCTCTCTGTCTTGGTGCTCTTTCCTCCAATATGGGATAGGTTTCTCTACCTTTTCGCTGTGGGCCTTGTACGACGTTCAGAGAGAAGTACGTAGAGAAGTTACCACTGGGACCTCCGGCAAAATACTCGCCGCCAGAAAGACAGCAACGCAACAGCACGGATGCCCGTTTGCACTCAACCCTGCCCCTAGTCCTCACTCTTTCCCAGGCACATAGCTAGGCATGTGTGGGTGTGCATTTTGGTGCGTGCACTTTTAAGATGGGAGTAAGAGGAAAGGTGTACAGGCCCATCTGGGTTTTCCCCTTGATGAACGAAGTGTCAGGGACTGGTCAGTGAGGAGAAAGAGTCACTGGAGGACAACTCTGTAGAGACCAGCATCTGTAGCAGTTGCACAGCATCTTGTGAAACGTATGGGATATAAGGATATTGAAGGACCAGGATATCTTGCATGGGCTGCTATAGTAGCTAGTCTAACAATTGAACTAAGATTTCAGAAAAGTATTGACTTGAGCCGCCCACACGGAGCAACGAGGACGTGGTAAAATACAAGATGTCTTCTGAGAACCAACAGTCATTGGCGTCGTGGTCTCAGGACCCTAGGAGTCAGGATGTGGAAATAGGCAGAGACCAGAAGTGGAACAGACATGGATGAAGCAGAGTGTGGTGAGGGAGTGTGCAGAGTTCAGTTGGGTAACAAGAACCCAACAGCGTCCATGGAGAAGATTGGGGAAAGTTGGAGGGAGAAGAATGTATTTGTTAGCACAATGAGGGGGGATAACGGTAAGGGGAATGTGAGGGTGCGTGCGCTAAATGTTGAAGGAGTAGTTGGGAGTCTGTGTTGCCTCTGAGTCTGTCCCACAGTCTGCCATGATGACCTAGGCAGAGTTAAGTCCAGAGCCAAACCTCTTTTTATTCCTACCCCAGCCCTTAACGCCCTGGCTTGTTTCTTTCCAGCTTCAGGCTCTGATTTCTGACCCTGAAAGGGTACGAGCTCCCCTCAGCTAGACTCTCCCTAGCCATGTTGGCTGCTTGACCTGGACACTTCCTTCCTTTTGCATATTAGGCGTGAGTCACGCACGGCACTTTGTTTTGTGCACAAGAATAAATGTATGCCCCAGACCTTCTGTTGCTGTCATCTCTTTTGGTTTTATATCTCGATATTCTCTAAGCCTAAACTTATTTGGCCTAATGCCCCGCTTGGAGGGGGGGATCACTCTGTCTCCTCTGGCAATTAAAAAACATTTGTCGCGTAGCCCATAGTCCAGGATAAAGTGTAGGTATCTCCACTTTTGCAGCTCCCAGTGGTCGGGTATTGCCCACTGTGGGAAGCACGGCTCTCATCCCCTTGATCTGAGTCCTGAGCTCCTTCTCCCATTCCTGAAGTCCCAGTTGTCAGCCTTTTGCCCCTCATCCCCAGGTTGTTTTGATACCAATTTGCACTGCTCTGGTTTTGTCACTTCTACCACTCCCTTTGGCTGTCTCTCCCTATATTCTCCAACCAGGTGCTTTCCCTTTTCAGCCCTTGCTCCAGACTTCTCAGGCATGGTCCCACATGGAAGAACTAGGAGAACCTTTTGCTATTAACATTTCCCGGCTCTGTAGAGGGAGAAGCCATGGTAAATAGTCTGTGGAAATTACACGACTAAAGGCAAAAAGAGAGGTGGGAGAGGGAGAAAGGAGAGAAAGGTGATCGGTGTGGATTTCAATTAAGAAAGCTGCCGAGGCAGGCTGCAATCAAGACTTCTGACAAGTGTCATTTCTCCAATTTCGCCAGCAGGGGGCATTTAATGCTAAATACAAAATCCAGGGCATTTAATGCTAAACAAAATCCAGGGCATTTAAAAATACACAACTTTAAAGGGAAAAGGCCTGGGATATCATTAGGCGAAATATTGTGTTTCAACTCACCTCAATAGTTTTGGGTGGTCAATCATAGCCAAACAATAAAATTTTTGATGTTTTCTTTTTATCTTTGAAGGGAGTGTGGTGGTGGTGGTGATGGTGATGAAGTCGCCTTTTATGATGTATGGTTTTTCTTCTAAGTGCTTCCTTGGTTTGGAGAGCAGGTGAGGGCTCTGGAGGCACAACTGCTCTGGGAAGGGCCCAACTCAAAGTGGGAGACTTGTCACCTCCTGGCCTGAATCTGCAGAGGACCAGATGGGATGGGGAGAGGATAGAGAGTGGAGAGCTCACAGAAGGACAGAAGGCTCTGGGGAGCTTTGCAAACCACTTCCTTGGGGGGGGCGGCCCCAGGGTGGTGTGGTTACAGTAGAGGTACAATGGCAACTGATTCCAGAATCCGAGCTGAAGGTGAAGGTAGAGGAATCTCCAGGATGTTCATGCTGAGGAAGGAACTTGGTAAATGATAGCCTTCCTCCTAAGAGGACTCTCAAGTTTATGACCATACCTAGAATCTCCTCTTGAACAGTATAATGGGCCCAGAGCCTAGGGGTTGTGTGCACTCTTGGAAGGAAATTTTAAGTAGGAACCTCAGAGAACAATGCCCTGGTAGGTCAGAAACTTACAAGTGCTTTTCTGGGCCACATTGACATCTATCTTGCAGAATAGGCAGAACTGAGCTACCTTTCGTCTGATCTTAAAACTGTCAGGGTTTCAGGGGGAAAGAAAAGGGAGTAAGCTGGACTGAGGAATTGCCCAACTCTTCCCCCACAGCATCCTTGATTGCCAAAGAAGCATTAGTTTGAGTTAAATTGATCCCTTCTCCTGCCAAGACCTGGCCTTCTGCAGAGGAAAGCCAACCTCGGCAGGAACATGAAAGAGCAGCCCTAGTATGAATAGATGTCTGCTTCCCTTCCCAAACATAGTCCCTCAAGTCCTCCTACTTCCAAATAAATACAGCCACAGCTCCCGTCTAAATTGGCTCTGGGTGGCCCTCTGGGCACGGTCTCCAGGTTCCCTTTCTCCCACTCTGAATTCCTGTCCACCACTTGCTGCCTGCTTCCTCTCCCCGTCTTCGATTTCTTCTTCCTGCATACTTCTCTGGCCTTGGTCTCCAAATGCCAAGGGAAGGGGAGCTCCCCCTACACAAACTGCAAACTGATCCTTGGCTCAGTGGGAGAATCCCAAAGACCTTTTTTCTCCTTCAGGAACGTCTGGGCAAGGAGGACGGGATCACCCAATGCATGGTTCCAGGGTCTCAGTACCCCCTGTGCCATTTGAGCTGTGTGCACTCATCATCTCTATTAATAGCCAGCCTCCCTCCCTCACTGCCAGTGCTGCCCCCGCGCCTGTCCAGCTCGGGTTCTCGGTCACAGCAGCTCAGTCCTCCAAAGCTGCTGGACCCCAGGGAGTGCTGACCACCACTTGAGTAACCGGTAAGTCCAGCTCTATGGTGACCAGAGGGGCTGGAGTCCACTCAATTTACTTCTGTGTCTGTGTCTACAATTGTTAGGTTTCATCTGCATGAGTGCTCCCTCCTCCCTCCAATCTATGCTTAGTTTTCAGCTGTTTCAATTCAAGGGAGTCACAGAGAGGTGGAAAGAGAGGGATCCAGGAGGCTGGAGGGAGTAGGGATGCTAGAAGAGCCACTAGAAGAGAGACAGGGGTCTAAGAGGCTGATGGATAAAAGAATCTGGGAGGGGCTGAGAGAGGTGCAAGGGGAGTCTATTTAGTGACTCTTGGACTGCGGCCTCAGCAGGCTCCACCAAGTTAGTAGAGTTGCAGAAGTGTTTGCAAGACAAGACTCAGCAGAAGAGGGGGTTTTGCTGAAGGCCTACTTCTGTTAAGGAGGAGCTGTTCCCAGCTTGTCCCCATCCATTGTCAGATCCTATTACTAAGCTCCTGTCCTCTGCTATGCTATTGCTGAATTGACAGGCATCAGGGTTCAAATGCTCCCAGCTCCACCCCCCAATGTCAGTTCTAGGATCTGGTGCAGTGATGGCTAAAGGGGAACACAGCCATCACCTCCCATGCCAAATTCCAGCTGGCCCAGGGGAGGAGCAACAACCTCTCCTCCCTATGGAGAATGTTGGCTGAACCCCCTGCCAGCACTTCTCCCCGCACCCCCCTTCCCCCCAGACCTTGGGGAAGACCCAGAAGAGATCAGAGCCTGGAACCATGGATCCCAATGTAAATAAAAACTTCAGCTCAAGCCAAGCCAATGAAATTCGGGTGCATTGTCTTGCCTGGGTTGCTTTAAAAGCAAAAACAACAAAAAAAGCAAACAAATACAACACCTTGAGTTATGTTCCTAATCCTTTTTATCAGCTCTATGTAAAATAACAATAGAGGTTGATAGAGGGTCATATGCATCTAAACCTCCTACCTTGCCTCCCGAGAAGGGAAAATTCATTGCCATCAATTCAATTTCAACTCATAGCGACCCTTTAGGACAGAGTAACTCTGCCCCTCTGCGTTTCTGAGACTGTAACTATGGGAGAAGAAAGCTTCATCTTTCTCTTTTCAGAGGCTGGTGGTTTTGAACTGCTGGTCTTGTGCATAACAAGTCAATGTGTAACCACTATACCATGATGCCCTAAACAATGGGTTTCCACCTTTTGGGGGGAATTCATATTTCTTTGAGGATCTGATGAAACATTGTCCCTCTAAGCCTTTAAGTCTAGTTGAGAAGTACTGCCTTAGGATAGAAGGGTTCATTTGTAAACACCCTTCCCTGTCTCTGTTCACCCTCCAACCTGTCCTTGCCACCCTATCCAGGCTAATCCTCCTCCACAATGCCACTATCAGGAACCCCGGCTCCCAACAAGAAGAGGAAATCCAGCAAGCTGATCATGGAACTCACTGGAGGTAGGGCTATGAGGGAGAATGGTAAGTCCCCTCGAGCATGGGACTTCTTACTAAGATCATCCCTGTCCCAAGAGTCACCAAAATAACGTAAGCTTTTATATGGTATGAAGGGATGCGAGGAACTGCAGTGTGGAGAGAGGCAAGGAGGATGGAGAAGGGACTGGACACCCACGCATCACCTTTAGACCCTTTTCACCCTGTAATGCCCCACCGTATTACCTAGCACAGGTCCTAGACCACTCTTCAATGGTGTATGTTTGAGGAAGAAAATGCCCGTGATAGAGATGGCAGAAAGTAAGGTCTCAATAAATGAATTTCTCCTTGCTTCTTTCCCCAGGCATTTCTGCTAGGGTTAGGCAGATGTGCATTGTGGGAAGGTCTATTCCCATATCAAGAGGCTGTTTGGAACCAAAGTTCACTAAGGTGAAGAGAAGGCAAAGGAGTTAAAACAGGTGTCTGTGTTTAAAGGTGGCCAATTTTGCACAGGATTGGGCTTTCTCCAATGCTGTATTTCCTCAATGCTACCACCTGTGATGCTCCTTTACTCCTTTTGCTTGGCACCCCACACCCATATCCCTCCCACCCATATCCCTCTTCCTCCTTCGACCCTCTCCAATCTAGTGGTGTCTCTGTCTTCACTCTGCACCCCAAGTTCCATGCATTAAGTCTCACTCCAAATCCAAGAAATCAAAATTTACACACACCAGACAGGATTTGATCAGCCATTACCAACAGTAGCTGTCCCCCTGAGTGGTCTTTGTCAGGATAAGCAAATCTAGTTGTGGCTGAGCCCAGAAAAGCCTCTTTCCCACTTTTCCCTTGCTTCTTCCTCCTTTTTCCCTGAAAGGTGGGCAAGGGAGCTCAGGCCTGAACCTGGGCAAGAAGATCAGTGTCCCAAGGGATGTGATGCTGGAGGAACTGTCGCTGCTCACTAACCGGGGCTCAAAAATGTTCAAACTGCGGCAGATGCGAGTGGAGAAATTTATCTATGAGAACCATCCTGATGTCTTCTCTGACAGCTCATTGGTGAGTTCTGAACTTTACCACTCTTTCTTTTTTAATTAAAAAGCAACAACATTTTATTGTTGTACACAATCCACACAGAGCCTGGTGACTTTTCTAGAAGTTTCTTGGTAGGACTTAAATCTTCAAAGTACCACAAGCTTCCTCTCTCTGCAAATTCATGAGCTCATTAAATGTCCAGACACACTGAATCCCTAACAGCCCAGAATGAATTACAGCTCACCTGTGAAACTGTCTCTATCTTAATTGTTGTGAACATGTGTGGAGGAACGCGGACACTGGAGCCACACCCCAGAGAGAAAACTCATGCCCCTTCCCGTTTGGGGTGTCTTAATTATTTACTGACACAAAACCCACGTAGGAATGGTTTTGACAAACAGCACTTTATCCTCTCACAGTTTAGGAGACTAGAAAAGTCTGACTTCAGGATGCCAGCCCTAGGGGAAGGTTTTCTCTGTGTCAGCTCTGGAGGAAGGTCCTTGACTTTTTTTAGTTCCTGTTCCTGGGAGCTCTTTCATATGGCTTGGTGTCCCTCCTCTCCCATCTCTGCTTTTCAAATGCTTCTCAGATTGACTTAAAACATGCCTGACACTAACCCCAAACCAACCTCACTGCCATCGAGTTGATGCTAACTCATAGCGACCCCATAGGATAGAATAGAACCGCCCTTTGTAGGTTTCTGAGACTAAATTTTTTTTTGTAACCACCTATGGTATTGTTTTATTTATGTTAACTGTCCAGAAATGAGGGGGGTACAAAAAAATCAGATTTTTTAAAAAGCTATGTATTTAAATTTTTTAAATTTAATCATTTTATTGGGGGCTCATACAACTCTTATCCAAATCCATCCATCCATTCATTGTGTCAAGCACATTTGTATATTTGTTGCCATCATATTCTCAAAACATTTGCTTTTTTTTTTTTTTTCCGAGACTAAATTTTTATGAGAATAGAAAACCTCAAATTTTCCCCTTGGCAAGGCTGGTTGGTGGTTTGGGACTCCTGACCTTGCTTGCGGTTAGCCCAAAGCCGAAGTACAATGCCACCAGAAAGGCTCAGTTTACGTTAATCCTGCCTTATTAACATAGCAAAAAAGACAACCCATTTCCAAATAAGGTTATAACCGCAGGCATCCATATACCTACTGCCACTAAGTTGATTCTGATCAACAGTGATCCTAACTAGGGTTTCCATACCGGAACAGATAGCTTCAATTTTCTCCTGCAGAGAAAGCTTCACCTGCGGAGGTGCTTGTCGTTTCAAACTACCAACCCTTTGGATTACAGCCATCGTGTAACCACGGCAACACAGCCGCTGGTGGGGTTGAATCACTGACCTTTTAGTTAGTCATCTAACACTCGCTAACCTGATAGTGCCACCAGGCCTCCTTAACCACAGGTTAGGGATGGGGTGGGGGTGGGAGAGGAGGGGCTTGTGTCAATCTACAACACCAGCAAGTGTAAAAGGTAGGTTTGTCACATAAGATATGGATGGCTTAGTTAAATTTGTATTTCAGATATATAACAGACTTTTTTTAGTGTAAGTCATTCCGTGCAATATTTGAGATATAAAAATGAAGTAAGAATATAAGCTGCTCAGCTAAACCTGAGTTTCAGATGCACACATTCATTTTGGTTTAATTGTTGTTCATTGCCGTCAGGTCACACTGGCCTCATGGTGACCCCATGTGTACAGAGTAGAAGTGCTCTTCAGGGTGTGCAAGCCTGTGACCTTTCAGAAGCAATCTCCAGGCTGTCTTCTGGGTGGAGCTGAACTGCTAACCTTTGGCTAGTAGTTGAGGACTTAACGCTTTGGGCCAGACGCCTGGTACTCTGCACTTTTATATAAATAATATGTGTGCTATATGGTTTCTAAACCTACATAGCTGTATGCATGTGTACCTGACCTATGTAGGTGCATTATATGCTAAAAATGAAGAGTATGCCCCATACAATACCTGAGACATTTTTGTATTGAAATATTTATTGTGTATCTGAAAAAAACTGAGTATCCCATAGTCTTATTTGCTCAATTTGGCAATCCCAGAGAGTTAAATGAATTTTTTAATAGAATTTTCACTTTATTTATTTATAAACATTTTATTGGGGGCTCTTTTTTTCCCTTCTTTTTTTTCTAATCTTTTTATTAGGGGCTCATACAACTCTTATCACAATCCATACATACATCAATTGTACAAAGCGCATTTGTACATTCATTGCCCTCATCATTCTCAAAACATTTCCTCTCCACTTAAGCCCCCGGCATTAGGTCCTCATTTTCTTATTGGGGGTTTTTACAGCTCTTTTAACAATCCATGCATCCATTGTATCGAGCACATTTGTACATCGGTTGCCGTCATCATTTTCTAAGTTACGTGAATTTTTATGGCCAGTCCCTTCTTGAGCCATTCTTTGGCTTAAAGGGTCCAATTTTTAATGGCATGTGTGCCACTCTTCCCTCAGGACCCCAGATGTGGGGACTGAAACTATCCTCCCAGACCCCACATCCTCTACTTAGGCTTTTTCTCCAAAGGAAGAAAAGGTAAGAGTTGGAACCTGACCAGGCACCAGATGTTACAGCTTCCTCCTTCACCTTCCCTGGGGGGGCAGGAGGAGGGGTAGAACTAGATGCCTACATAGGGCCAGGGCAAGAGTGTTGTCATTGGCTCTCATGTGGGAACAGAGCAAAAATGCTGAGCCAGTGACATCTAACTTTAGGAGGCCCAAAGCCCTCTTCCCTGACTGGGTCTGGTTACACTGGGTGGAGCATAGGGGTGTGCCTGGTAGGATTGCCAGAAGAGCCTCCTGAAGGAGCTGGCAGGGTTATTTTTAGGCTTTATAGCTGAATCCAGTGTTGCCCTTTTGGGCACCCTTTCCCCCACCCAGCTACAATTTCACTGTCAGGAAGCCTTGATCCAGCAGGCACCACAAGGAGGAAGGCAAGGGGGAGAAGAGAGTTCTGTGTGCTGGACAAGCTGAGAGAGGAAGGTAGTCTTCCCTAAGGCTGGGCACTCCATTACCAACTCCATCTTCTCAAAGTCTAATGTGGTCCTCTTTGTCTTGGGACCCATGGGAAAGGGAGTGTGTAAGATGGACGAAGTGAGGGAGTCTAGTGGGCCCCGCTTCTCAAGGCAAGGTCAGCACCTCTCAGCCAAGTTACTTACTTTCCATGCATTGGAGGGGGACCTCAGAGGATTCAGTGTCTTCTGGTTGGCCATCATCCCTGATCCCCTCCTCCCTCTCTGTGACAGCTCTTCCTTGGTATAGTCTCTGTTTCCCCTAACTTTGTCCATTTTTTTCAGGATCACTTCCAGAAGTTCCTTCCTACAGTGGGAGGTCAGCTGGGTACAGCTGGGCAGGGATTCTCCCACAGCAAGGGCAGTGGCGGAGGCCAGGCAGGGGGCAGAGGCTCTGCCGGGCAGCACCACCACCAAGGCTCTGGGTCTGGGGGCACAGGTGGACCTGGGGGGCAAACCAGCACAGGAGAAGTTGGCACAATGGGAGTTGGCGAGTCAGCAACAGGTAAATACCCACAACCTGAGAGTGCTGGGTCTGGACCTGGAAGCTGGGATGTCCTCAGGGATGAGGTCTAGCCTGGGTGTGGGGAACAGGGGAGACCAGATGAGATATCTGAGTGGACTCTCTGGATCCAGAAGTCTGTTCTACTCTGAAGCTTTGTCTTGCATTTATTTTCCTGTGGCGTTTTTGTTTGTGTTTTCAGATCTAGTCACAGATCTGAGCACAAGCTGCCGTTATGCCACAGACCTTACACAATTACCTGAATATTATACTTTTGTTCCTTAGTCCCAGCCCTCAGTGTAGGCATATGGGGGATCTCAACTTCCATTGGCAACTAACTGCTATTATTTGATTTACCTTTCTTTCCCATGGCTTCAAGGAGACCAGGCAGGTGGAGAAGGAAAACATATTACTATGTTCAAGACATATATCTCCCCATGGGAGCGAGCAATGGGGGTGGACCCCCAGCAGAAAGTGGAACTTGGTATTGACCTGCTGGCCTATGGGGCCAAAGCTGAACTTCCCAAATATAAGTCCTTCAACAGGTAGGAATGGTGGGGGCAAGGAACCAGATGTATTCTAGTGTGGGCTGGAGTCCTTGGTTCACATGTTTCAAGAGGGTGAAGAGGGATGGGAGGCATATGGAGGCCCTCAGTGAAGCCCTTTGCTCTCACATGAAGTCAGAGGAACACTTAGGAAGGTACTGAATTCCATGGTTCATAAGCCACTTATTAGCTCTGTGGGCCTGGGAAAGCCATTCTATTGCTGAGGTTTGGTTATCTTAGTAAAATCAGAACAATATATTACCTGTTTGAAAGACTCTTGAGCATCCCTTCCATACAAGATCTAGGATTCCATAATTCTCCTGCAGTACCATTCTAATTGCTCATACCACATACTTAAGGCTTTAAGTATCTGTTCTCTGTCTCCATAAATCATGGAGATCTGTATGGAAGCAAGATAGGGAAATGCTAGAGCAATGCTTTTGCATTGGGTTTTCTTACCCAGACCAACCTCTATCCACTGGGAGTAGCAGGGAGAGTTCATAGGGTCTTTGCATTATAAGGGAAGGTGGCCTCAGACCCTTGGGTCTATAGTGTTTGGGGCCACTTTGTCTGAAATGCATGCTGCTCTGGATCACAACTATTTATGAGACTCCAGCTAGTGCCCACGGGGCCTGGTGGCCTAGTGGTAAAGTGCTTGACCGCTAACCCAAAGGTTGGTGGTTCCGTGGGAGCCATGCTGCTCCAGGGGAGAGAAGACACAGTAGTCTGCTTCTGTAAAGATGACAGCTTTGGAAACCGTATGGGGCAGTTCTCCTCTGCCCTGGAGGTCCAGTATGAGTCAGGACGGATTCAACAGCAGAGATGAATCTAGTGCCCACTTGCTTCCTTTTCGTATTATTAGTTCAAGAAACAAGTAAGCCAAACTTTCCCACCCTAAAAATGGGCTAACATCTCAGCTAAGGCTCTGTTCTTTTTGTTCTGATTTTTAATTAAATAATGTGCTCCCTTTTCAGGACAGCAATGCCCTACGGTGGATACAAGAAGGCTTCCAAACGCATGACCTTCCAGATGCCCAAGTTTGACCTGGGGCCCCTGTTAAATGAACCCTTGATGCTCTACAACCAGAACCTCTCCAACAGGCCTTCTTTCAATCGAACCCCTATTCCCTGGCTGAGCTCTGGGGAGCCTGTAGACTACAATGTGGATATTGGCATCCCATTGGATGGAGAAACAGAGGAGCTGTGAGGTGTTTCTCCTCTGCTTTGCATTGTTTCCCTTCTCTGGTTCCACTCTGGAGAGGGAATGCTAAGCAGGGTACCCCATGTAAATCCAGTATCCTTGTGAGGATGGAGCAGAAGGAGGGAGAGATCCTTTCTTCCAAGTCCCCACTCCAAGCACCTTTCCTTACCAACTGGGAGACCCCTTTCCACGTGATCCATGTGGAACCTGCTCTTTTAGGGAATTTTCTCTGCCACCAGTAACAGCCAATAAACTTCAAGGAAATGAACTCATTCTTCCTCTGATATTTGAGGGCAGGCAAAAACCGAAGCTAACAACACAGAGAGACGAATTAAATCCAAATACAGTACTAAACATTCATTACTCAGACTTCAAGCCCAGACCTGAGCTCTGGTTGTTTCCACACCCACACCTACAAAACCACATTCATAAGTGTATACGAAGCATACTTACTCAGTAGAGCATGAGACGAGTAATCACGCTAGTCCATGTGTCGTCCAAACTACGAAGCTATTATACTCTGAGGTTAGGAAAGAGGCATTGGTGACCCTGATGTAGCTGATTAGAAGCTGTGAGAATCAGGGTTACACAATTGTTATAGGAATATAGCATGCTATAATATATATAGCATGACACCAGAGTGGGCTTGGTTTAGGAAATATACATACAGAAGATTACAGATTTTAAAAACAGCGAGCCATGTGGACTCTTAAGGGGAACAGAAACGAGAAACTAACTATACTTATAGTATGCTGGGCTCCAAGTGGTCAGAGCAAGATGAGAACTAAAGGTCATGGGGCACCACAGTATTGTCCTGAGAGCCCGGTGATGGGAAGACACAGGAATGTCCAACTGGAATAAGCAACGCCCCGCTTCTGATTGATTTCAAGCAGGGGGTCTCTCTCAAACCCTAGCTTTATTCCTGTGTTTCATAAAGTAAGAACGCTATAGACCAGGAAGAACAGATGACCCCTTTGAATCTGGAAAAGCAACTTCAGGAGATCTTGCTGGTTTTCAGCCTGCTTCACTCGATGAGCATGAATAGTAAGTTGCTAGACTCTGGATCAGACTGATGTATTAGTGAACCTTAGGAAACCGTGACATTTACTCTGCTCATCTTCCCGTACAACCTAAAGAATTACTTTTTGGGGATTCTTATCTCCTCTCAAATGTGTATATGTAATCTATGTCCATTTTTCTGAGGAGAGATGTCAGAATTTAGATTTCCCCCAATAGATTCTAAAACAAAGATTTGTGTGTACCTAGTTCATTTGGGAGATGATCCCAGAAAGTCAAGCAGGATGGGGGGATGGGAAGAAAGTTAATACAGGGTGCTTCGGGCAACTGTGGCTAAATCCCACGGGAACTCCCTGAGAACAATGCCATTTAAATTGCAGCTCATGGACTGGCACCAGCAGGGTCTTCTTGGAACTTGGTTAGAAATGCAAAGTCTTTGGCTCAGGAATCTGTGTCTTACTAATTTCTCTTTGTGATTCTTATCTACTAGCAAATCTGGGAAAACATTACCATAATACACACCCAGGATTGCCTTGGTGAGGAATTGGAATTCACCAAATCCTCTCTCATTTCTTGTGGATTCTTCCTGCTAAAGTTAACTTCTTTAAAAAAATTTTTTTTAAATCATTTTATTGGGGGCTTGTACAACTCATCACAATCCATACATCCATCCATTGTGTGAAGCACATTTTTACATTTGTTGCCCTCATCATTCTCAAAACATTTGCTTTCTACAGTGAGCCCTTGGTATCAGCTCATTTTTACCCCTTGCTCCCCGCCCCCTTCCCTCATGAACCCTTAATAATTTATAAATTATTATTTTGCCATATCTCACACTGTCCGATGTCTCCTTTCACCCACTTTTCTGTTGTCCATCCCCCAGGGAGGAGGTTATATGTAGATCCTTGTAATCAGTTCCCCCTTTCTATCCCACCTTCCCTCCACCCTCCCGGTATCACCACTCTCACCACTGGTCCTGAAGGGATCATCTGTCCTGGATTCCCAGTTCCAATCTGTACTAGTGTACATCCTCTGGTCTAGGCAGATTTGTAAGGTAGACTTAGGATTATGATAGTTGGGGGGAAGGAAGCATTTAAGACAGCGGTTCTCAACCTGTGGGTCACGACCTCTTTGGGGGTCGAACAACCTTTTCACAGGGGTCGCCCGAATCATAACAGTAGCAAAATTACAGTTATGAAGTAGCAACGATAATAATTTTATGGTTGGGGGGTCACCATAACATGAGGGTCGAGGCATTAGGAAGGTTGAGAACCACTGATTTAAGAACTAAAGGAAAGTTGTATGTTTCATTGTTGCTGCACCCTGACCGGCTTGTCTCCTCCCCGCAACCCTTCTGTAAGGGGATGTCCAGTTGCCTACAGATGGGCTATGGGTCCCCAATCTCCATTCCCCCTCATTCACAATGATATGATATTTTGTTCTTTGATGCCTGATACTTGATCCTATCAACACCTCGTGATCACAAAGGCTGGTTTGCTTCTTTCATGTGGGCTTTGTTGCTTCTGAGCTAGATGGCCGCTTGTTTACCTTCAAACCTTTAAGACCCCATATGCTATATCTTTTGATAGCCCAGCACCATGTTTTTTTCACCACATTTGCTTATGTACCCCTTTGTCTTCAGCAATCCTGTCAGGAAAGTGAGCATCATGGAATGCCAGTTTAATGAAGCAAAGTGTTCTTGCATTGAGGGAGTACTTGAGTGGAGGCTCACTGTCCATCTGCTACTAAAGTTAACTTCTTAAAGGCAAGTTAACACTGGCACTTTGAGGAACAGCTAAGCATGTCCCTAGGAGAGAGACACTTAAGCGTTTGAAGAAGAAGCTATGAGCTTGTATATAGAATCTGCTTCTCAAAGCTGTAGTGAATTCTGAGGTGAGCTGAGGGGAAACTATCAGTCAGAATCTGAGTAAGAGTTCATTGCTTCTATTAGATTCTCATGCTTATAAGTCTGTGAGACCCCACAAAAGGTCAAGAACTATAACAATGACAAAAAGTACAAGTTTACTGAATACGATCTACTTCTGAAAATGATCAGCCAGTGAGAACTTTATGGATCACAACAATCTGATCCATAACCAATCATGGGGTATTTTACACTACTGTGTGTGAGGTCACCGTGAGTTGGGGCCAACTCAACAGCAATGAACAACGACAACCCCTGTAAACCAGGTACTTTTTCAGACATCAGAAGGTACAAAGATGAATAACGATTTTCATGTGGCAAAGAGATTTCACAATTAAATAATTATTAAATGCCTCCCCTTAAATTTGAGGGCAGTGGTGGTTCAGTGGTAGAATTGTTGCCTTCCATGCAAGAGACGGAGTGCAATGCCTGGTCAATGTGCCTCAGGATCAGTAGCCACTCATTCATGTTAGTGGAGGCTTGTGGGTTGCTATAATGCTGAACAAGTTTCAGTTGAACTTTCAGATTAGGACCGTGGAGCTCCCAGACTAAGACCAATTAGGAAGAATGGCAACCGATTCCCCACAAAATCCAATCAATAAAGAACCTAAGGATAACAACTGCCTGCTCCTGTAGTGTATGGAGTCTCCATGAGTGTGGGGCTGACTCTACAATGAACAACAACCCTTCAAGTTGGGGGAGGAAAATCTAGCATCTATCAGTTCACAGCTCTGAAAACCTAGAAACTGACCTTTTTCTGCATGCTCAGAATGTCTGAAACACTAAATACAAAAGCAAAACAAAACACCATGATGCAAGTTTATTGTTTACAGGGAGGCCCTGTTGATTACAAAATTTTCTCCTAAGTAGGAAAATCTACTTAGAAGTGGAGTTATCATCATAAATTTAATTGGTAAAAATGAAATAAGGAATAGGAAAACTTTAGTGGAAAGCCTAACCGAACAATGGTGGTTTAATGCATTAAAGTGTATACTTGTACAGGATCCAGTCAGAAATCCAGCGGAATTCTCAATCTCTGGAATCCTTTCGTCTAGATACTATTTTCTGTTAAACCATCCATGTTCCATTTGGGTGTCGCTGCGCTTTAAAATCCAGGAAAGCTAGTTCATTTAGATGAGTGTCTGTAATCTCCAGTGGGTCTTAGTCCACACTGCTATTGTTTTACACCAGGTAATTTCTTTGATTCTTTTCTAACTTGTGCAGCCACTTAAGCTAGCAAGGGTTTCTTGTACATAGCTCACTAGTCCATAATGCACCTCCTCCAGAGGTCACCTACAAGCTCATTCCCTTGTCTAGGATCTAGAACTGTGCTTAGCACATTCAGAACAGAAATCACTAGTGACTACTGAGCTCTAAAAATGAGCCTAGTCTGATTTGACAACAGCATTCAGATTTTGAAGATTTAGTAAGAAAACAATGCAAAACACCACACATTCTTAATTGTCATCGAAATGGTCATTTTTTTATTGTTGGCTTAAATAAAACATTATTTTGTGTTTAATTTTAAAAAATGTGACTGTTAGTGCTGCAGAGGTGTCCCAAAAAGTGGGTTTTCCCCTTGCCTAGTTAAGAATAATGAGGATGAAAAAAAATAATAATGAGGATGGGAGCCAAGCTTACTGCACAAGCAAAAAGGTTTATTAGAGAGAAGTTCCTGCAAGGGGAAATGTGCCAGGGGTCCTAAGACAATGCAGGCCACGGTCTCTTCAAGCAGTGGAAAAGGAGAGGTTTATAAGGGAGTTTAGGTGGAGAGGACATTCAGTTTTACTCATGGACAAGTAGAGAAATCCAGGAATTGGGTCTACATGGATGGGGTTGTAATTGGGTGCTCATGCAACAGGTATTTGAAACTGTATGGGATGTTGCACATGTTCAAGGCAGCTTGTTCTTCAGATTCAAGTCCTGTGCTGGGTTCACACCCCCCTAGTGTTCTTTGCTCTCTTGGTTCAACTCAAGGTCACAGGTGTCTGGTCTGTTGCTCCTATGACTAGTTTAAGCTGGTTGAATGAGTGAATGCTGCTGAACAAGGGTGTGGTACTAACTCTATTCTTACAGGAGAGGAAAAACACAATTCACGATTGAAAGTGATGCCAGCTATTGCAATATGCTACAAGTTAAAATGTGAACTGGTGTGATTGAGCCTGGATGTGTTAGTTTGGGAAAATTCATCAAAATCATTTGAACTTGAATAATATGTATGGAAGAATCCAGCCTCTTTTCCAATCTGTGTCATTAAAAAAAATTAAACCTGCACAATGTGGTCCATAATATATTTCTACTGGGCAGCACTGATCTAGAATATATTA